TAAAAATCTTAAAAAAAAATGAAATGGGCCTTAAAAACTCAATGGATTTTTACTGGGTGGGGGGGAATGGTAATTGAGTTAATCGAATGGGACAAATAACTAAATGTTAACTTTGTAACCAGAAGAGTCATCTTAGGAGCGCGTGGGTGGCTTAGTTGGTTAGGCGTCTGCCTTTGGCTCAGGTCATGATCTGTCTGGGTCCCAGGACTAAGCCATGAGTAGGGCTCCCTGATCAGCAGAGAGTATGCTTCTCCCTCTGTCATTCCCCCTGCTTGTGCTTCCTCTGTCTGTCCGATAAATAAATAAAAACTTAAAAAAAAAGTCATCTTATTCCCCTGTTATTATCGTTCACTGGCACTGTTCAAGATAGCCCATAATCATATACCAATCCTTTAAAAATACAGGATTGAAATTCTCTCTCCCTTTGCCTACTGGCAGTTCTATCTCCCACCATAAAAGCTTTACATGCCAGATATAGTCCTTGTTAGCACATACGCAACTGGTAAATGGGGGAAATAATGTCAACATAATGCAGAAATTACATTGGTTTGTTCATTATTTTTCCTGGCATACTTGCATTTTGAAGTGATCAGGGGACAAGCCTTTTCACAATTAAGTAAAAAACCTTAGCAATATAAAAACTTTAAGAAAAAAGCAGACAATTCCTCAGGAACGCCTTTCTTTAGTGCAAGTAGAGGCTTGTTTGGATCTTTAAGAACATTTAAGCTTTTCACAATAGTTTATACGGTGAAGCTGCACAGTGTAAATGAATTTCTCCCGTGTGTGTGTGTGGCAGGGGGGTGGCCACTGATGGAGAAGGCTAAATTTTGGATCATATTTTTAATTTTGATGAAACTGCTTCTAATTGGAAGCAAATGCCCTCCAGGACCTATGTGTGTAAGAAGGAAGCCTGTGTTCCAGGGTTAAATGTTCTAAAGCAGTGCTATTCAATAGAAATATGAGACATGTAATGCAATTTTAAGTTTTCGAGTAGTCACATTAAAAAAAAAAGATTTTATTTATTTATTTGAGAGAGAGAGATAGTGAGAGCAGGAACACAAGCAGGGGAAGAGGGGGAGGGAGAAGTAGGCTTCTGGAGAAGCAGGGAGCCCTATACAGGGCTCCATCTCAGGACTCTGGGATCACGACCTGAGCCAAAGGCAAACGGTTAAGGACTGAGCCACCCAGGCGCCCCTAGTAGCCACATTTTTTTTTTTTTTAAGATTTTATTTATTTATTTGACAGACTGAGATCACAAGTAGGCAGAGAGGCAGGCAGAGAGAGAGGAAGGGAAGCAGGCTCCCTGCTGAGCAGAGAGCCCGACGCGGGACTCGATCCCAGGATCCTGGGATCATGACCTGAGCCGAAGGCAGCAGCTTAACCCACTGAGCCACCCAGGCGCCCCAATAGCCACATTTTTAAGGAGTAAAAAGAAACAAGTGAAATATTTCAACACGTAACCAATATAAAAACTATTAATGAGCTATTTTACATTCTTTTTTTCTTACTAAGTCTTAGAAATCTGTTGTATATTTTACATTTATAGCACATCTCAATTTGGATTAGCATATTTAAATGCCCAAGAGGCACACATGGCTAATGAATACCATATTGAGCAGCAAAGATCTAAAGGATAACCGAGAAGTTGAACACAAATGCCAGTGGAGATTTGATTGGTATTATTTTTTATTAGCATAGTAATTTTTATTGTCCTCAAGTAACAAAGTTGCATAGGTTTTGAGGGTCTGCTCCTAAGCCTATACATTCTTTGTAAGTCCTATTATTTTTAGTGCCCAATTTTAAAGAACACTTGTTTTTTCCTGTACGTGCATTCCTGGCCTTCCTCTCAGCCCTGGGTAGTCATGTGATTTGGTTATGAGCAATGTAAAGGGAAGTCTGTGAAGTCATATGGGAAAATTTTTCACCCTGATAAGAAGAGAGAGGCCACAAGGAGAGAGCTGAGCATCTCCCTCCCCCTACCACATCTCTTTCTTTCTGTTTGAAACATTTGATATGAGAACATGATGTTTAGGGGTGCGTGGGTGGCTCAGTCAGTTAAGCATCTGCCTTCAGCTCAGGTCATGATCTCAGGGTCCTGGGATCAAGTCCCACATCCGGCTCCCTGCTTGGTGAGGAGTCTGCTTTTCCCTCTCCCTGTGCTCCTCCCTGTCCCCACTCATGCTCGCTCGCTCTCTCATTCTCTCAAATGAATAAAATATGAAAAAAAGAGAACATACTGTTTGAAGTTATGGCAGCCATCTTGTGACTGGGATAGAAGATTCATTAATATGTTGAGGATGGCAGAATAGAAAGGCATCTTTGCTGATCAGAGATGAAAATGCAATGAGGCAGCTAGCCATGCAAATATGGGGGTGGGAGGGAGGCTGGGGCAGAGTTCTCTAGCAGAAGGAAGGGTGCTTCAGCAGAGAAGATGTCCTCAATGTGCTTTGCATAATATTCGCAAATGAGGTTCCCCCTTGCTAACTGATGACAACATTCTTTCTTTAAGTATGACAAGAGTGCTGGAATTACTCCCAACACTTAAAAGACTGCAGAATTAGAAGCAGCAGCAAAATTTCCTTGAAGTCCCTTATAATTAAGGTTCCATGCACAAACAGTGCACTTTGGCTGTCATATATGTGTTTAATACTTTAAAAAATGTTTAAAGTTATCTATCCTGAAAAAAATTTCCACGACTCAGTTAATAAGATTATATTGTGTTGATTCAACCAATTTTGAATAATTGGTAATGCATATTAGATTCATTGTTCAACAGTTTCTTACTTGTCTCGAGGTCACAGTAATTCAAGAACCCAGATTCACATGAATATGTGGATAACAATGGCAGCAGTTTTTGCCTTTTTTTTTTTTTTTTAACTTCTTTTTAGTGTCAGGGCACACTGTCCCAGAATGCTGCTAAAAAAATGGTATGGGTCACTTTTTCATCTACTGATTGTGGAAATTTTGGTAAGTATATTTCCTGCTGAGTCATATGACAGACTAAATGGGTAACCAGTCCATTTGTGATTTTCTTTTACTCATCAAAGGATTTCAGTGAACAAAGATGAAGTTTTATTTGACCACTTACCAGTCTTACACTAACATTTTTATCACATGTAAACAAACCAGGCGTCTCAAAGGATTCACAGTTCTTTATCAACTCTTCATCCGATTCCCATACTTAATTTTCATTAGAGTCCTCTCTTCCAATGCAATAAAAGTATTCAGTTTGTTTTACAGTTGTTGATTGTGTTGACAAAGTAAGCCAGCCGTCTTTATGAGTCAGTCTTAATCATTAAGGTGAACAAAGAATCAATTCACCTTATCTACATTTCTTTTCCTTTATGAAGAAAATGTCAATGCAATCCTGGCTTAGAAAACTGATTATCACCTTCCTCAACCAAATGACTGTACTTCTAGGTAGCAGAGCAGGATTTTAAAGTTACTTCTGACTTTGGAACAACTATGTCTTAAAAGATAAGTATTCAAACTACCAGATTTACTAAATTTTACTATCATTTTGAACATAATAAAAAATATTCCAGCAGCTAATTTATTTATTTGAGAGAGAGTCTGAGATCACACGCACCCATGTGAGCAGGGACTATGGGGAGGAACAGAGGGAGAAGGAGAGAGAATCCCAAGCAGACTCCAGTGCCCAGTGGCAGCCCTACCCTGCCAGACCCCATGATCCCAAGATCACCACCCCAGTCATACTCAGCCAACTGAGCCACCCAGGTGTCCCCGAGGCTAATTTTTTAAGGTGAAGGCTCCATGTGAACCATACTGCAGATGTCCAAAGCCTTCAAAATTTGGCCCCACCTGCATACGTCCATACATTTTTTTCTACCGAATTTCATGCTGCCTAAAAAAAAAAAAAAATCTCACCTTCTTTTGTAGAAATTTTCTTCTATCCCAAGTCCAAGTCTTCACTTAAAACTTAACAAATAGAGTGCAATAAAATTGCCAAATTGCTAACATCTATGCTTTTATCCAATTCTAAGATAAAGATTCAGGTTTGGCTGAATTTACCAGTTTCGTGTATATTTCTGAGCACATTAAAGTGCATCAATAGAAATGCCTCCATAAAGACACTTAAAAATCAGCTTTCCTGCCTTTGTGTGTGTTTTCAGATTCATAAATCTACAACACTAAGTTCTACCAGATATTCTCATTTTCCAAGTATCATGGACTTCTAAACCATCTGAAACGTATTCGGAAGGCATCTTAAAACCATCTCTTAAAATTTGCTTGTGCTTTTAATGGCGATTGCTTCTAGAGTTACCTCCCTTTTTAGTTTCAAAATTTGCATGGCTGCCTTTTTGAGTTTGTTTCAAGAGTCAGTCTTAATCATGCAGGTACTGCTAGGGGTTTGCTCGACCCAGATGGCTTTCCGGCTAGGCTTCTTTGCATCTTTTCCATAACAGGTACCTAAATACTACCTGCGCTTTTAGGTTTTCTGTCGCTGCTTGCCACTTCTTACTAATGGTTACAGTGGTGCCCCCTCCTTCGTCACGTTCATTATAAAGCCCTCCCATGGCAGGTCTGACAAGGCAAGGATTTCTGAATATTCAGGGTCTTCATTCCCGTTCGTATTTCCACGAGCTTCGGACTTAAGACTTCAAACGTCCCGTTCTCAATTTCCAGAGAAGCAGGACTTTCACTGTGAATTACATACACACCAAGACCGTCAAGTAAGCGCCGGCGCCCGAGAAGCCCGACCAGCGGTCGCCAGAGCTGGTAAACAAACGCCGCGCAGGCGCAGTGGCAGCAGGAGGGTCAACCGGTGGCTTGGCAATCCCTGGAGGATTTTTGTAAAGTTTAAAGTGGAAAAGCAAAACAAAACGCCGCTTAGGGTGACAAAGTGCTTGGCTTTTTCTATTTTTACTGATTTCTGGCTTTTTTTCCCCCCTGAAGAACAGGCGCGGCTTTCGGGGCCTTGCGGAGAAGTCTGCAGAATTCCTCGTCCCCGAACACTGCCGCTAGCCTGGTGGCTGGTTGTACCAGCCTCGCTTGCTCTCGCCGCCGAGTCTCGTTCTCCTTTATTTGTTTACGGTACAAATCCACCCCGCTTGGGGGTGGGGGGTGGGGGAAAGATGGGGAAAGGGCACACCGCGCCATAAAACACTTCCTAGTCTCGGGGCTTCCTCAAACCGCGCGAGATCTGCCCGAGCGCAGAGCGGCACGTCCACGGGTACGTGTGCGCATGCCCCTGAGTAATCCTTGGGAGCGCGAAAAAGTTTTGAAACTTTCGGCGACGTCAATAGTAAACTAGATCTGGCCCTCCAGAAAGGTGCGGCGGGGGGGTTGGTAGGAGGCGGTGTTCAAGTGCACAATACTACGTTCTTTGAGACTTTGCCGTCACAACTCTGCACGACTGCATGGCCGTCCCTTCTTTTCGTTATTATATATTGGCCGTGAATTCTGTGTTAGAGCAAGTTTCAGCCAAGCCAGCAGTAAAGGAGTCGGGGTGGAGGAGCGGATCCCAGTCTTAAAATGAGGGTGATGACTTTGATGTGTTTGGAAAGATAACTCGGGGAGCCACTTAAAGGAATAAATCTGAGGGTGCCAAAAATTTTTTTTTCCCTTACTGGAGACTCAGGGAGACTGGGCTGAACTAAGGTAATGCAGTGGAAAGGAGAAGATAATAAATGAAGGCAGTAGCTATACAGCACAAGGGAGAGGTGAGACTAGAAAGACAACTGTTGTCAGTAGAGAATGTTCCTTAAAGTAGTGTGAACCTATGCATGTTCGTAAACAGAAAGGAAGAAATGATTAGGCCATGATTTGTAAGGTGAAAATTGGGAAGTCCCTGAGTGAGTGGAGCAAGGCATCTTAAAAGCCATAGTCCTGAACAAGGGCTGAGGTTAGGGTTAGAAAGAACAGTTTAAGGTCACAGGAGTGGGGAATTTGGGAACTGCCTTGAGTTATCTGCCTGACTAATGTTACCTCTTTTGCAGGATACACGGGACACCTGCACACAAATGTTGGATTTTGTCCTGCATCGTCTGAAAGGTACCACCCAAATACCTGAAGTGCTCTCTCCCAGTAAGTCCCCTTGTTCCTACCACCTCCCACCTACCCTATACTTCAGCCAGAATGAAATGTGAATTTTGTGAAGTGGTGGAATTTCGTCCCTTAGACATACCACTGGTGCATTACAAAAAGACATATTTCTACTTCCAGCTTTCCAATTCACTAGGTATTGGAGTCCATCTTGATACTAGCAGCAATGTTAGGCAGCTTAGCCACTCTCTGTTGATTTTTTGTGTCCTCTCTGGAGTATAGGGCAGAGGAGGGACAGAGTGCATAATTTTACTAGCCCACCAAAGCAGTGGTTTGTAGGTAGGTAGTATAGCTTCATCTGTAATAGAGAAAGCTTCAGGATTTAAGTCAGCAATGATGGACAAAGGATCCAGGTATGAATTTTAAAATGGAAGTACTTCAGTAAAGACCCAATAACTACCCTACATGGTAGTTCCCTAAAAAGTTCTCCCTTGGAGCACTTCATTCCATTTTAGCAGCCTAAAGTACAGCCTGGTAGCAGGGCTCTATGTGTGCCATTTGTGGGAAGATGTTCCAGAAAAAAATTCATGGATGCAGTAGAATAGGATTTCTGGGATAAAGGTTAGGTGTCTTGTTTTAGGAAGCAGGATCATCTAGCTGTAGGAGGCATGACATTTCAGTATGGTGTCACAGAAAGTGTGTAAAATTGGAAATCAGATCTGGGGGTTGCCTTGGTTGATTATGCTAGTTACTCTGTGTGACTTGCCTGTGCCTCAGTTTTCTTCTTCTTCTTTGTAAAATAAGGATAACAGTGCCTACCTCATAGGATGATTGTAAAGATGAAATGAGGTACTATTTAGAAGGCTGCATGAGTTAACTACATAGAACTTGATATATAATTTATGATCAACAAATGAAAGTGTCTTCCCCTGAGCCTCCCACATTTATGCATGCTATCTGCCCCTCAAATATGGAAGCTCTATGTAGCATAAAGCCATCTGTATTTAAGACAGGTTCTCTGCCTTGCCTTCACATTAGAATTACCTGGGGAGGTTTAAAAAATGCCCAAACTGCCCCCTTAATCAATTAAATAGAATCTCTGGTAGTGGAGTCTGGACATGAGTAATTTTTTAAAGCTCATTTGCTACTAAAGTTAGAACCACTGCTTTAAGAGCTTCCTCTAGGGCACCTGGATGGCTCAGTATCTGCCTTCTGCTCAAGTCATGTTCCTGGGGTCCTGGCAGCAACCTCTGCATGGGGCTCCCTGCTCAGTGGGCAGCTTGTTTCTCCCTCTCCCTCTCCCCACCCTCCACCCCGGCTTGTGCTTGCTCTAGCTATCTTTCTCTCTCTCAAATAAATAACTAAAATCTTTAAAAAAAAAAAAAAAAAGAGGAGTTCCATCTAGAAGAAGGAGAAGAAAATTAGACCTGTGGTTTAGGACCATCTATCTGTATGGCTATATATTTGAAAAATTTGTAGAGGAATAAAGGCTAGTGCTTGAGATGGGCAGATGAGTAGGGCGTAGTGGGCTATATTCAGGGAAAGAGGCCACTATGACAAGAATGTGGTAAACATCCGGATTTGGGAAAGGCAGGTGATGATGTCATTAATACAGACCTCAGGAGTACATGGGCCTTGCTGTAGAGATGGAGGACTTTGAGCCTCTCAGGTTGATCCTTTGAGCTAGCACAGGCAACACAGATGATGATGCCTTTATTGCTTTACCATGTGGTGAATGTTGGGCTGATGTCCATAGTGGGGTGAGACGATCTCTTATAGCTGGCTCTACTCTGTTGCAGGGGCATCATGACATCACTGCAGTGTGTGTATGTGGGTGTTCTCTGGTGGAAAGGTGCTTGTGGGAAAACACGTGCAGCAGGCCATTGACAATGAAACCTATCATGGTTGTTGTGGCTGTTCTCACGACACAGTTTTGTTCGTACTAACAGATAAGAAAGGTGAGATGCAAGCCTGTTTTTGTAACCTTTTTAGTGAATAAAGAATTTCTTGAAACAGAAGGAATGGCATGTCTGGTTCAGGGATTTGAGCTTCTAAGAGACAAGTGACTTTCTAGTAGGACTTTAGTTTCTAGGGATATAAGTGGTTCAGAAGTTGAAACCAACATACTCCTTCAGTCTTTGGGTGGCTAGACCCAACTGTAGCAGTTCTGGCCAGGAATATCTTCTGCCACATAGGGTAGCCTGTCTTTAATTGGGTCCCTTTTCTTGAGAAGCACATTAGTTTGTCTAGTCCCTAGCAAGAGCACTGGGGAAATGAGTAAACATTATTGGCTAGATAAGGAGACAAGGGATTCAGACTGCAGGGGTCAGTAGTGAAAGCTTATGAAGTGGGAGAATAGCAGAATATGCTGAAGTGAGGAGTGGAATGGGGTAGGAGGATAGGAGACTTGGCGTAAGGAGGGAAGCATGTTGAAAGTTAGAAATAGGAAAGTCTCAAGCAGTGACAGTTTAGTCCAGCTTTTTAAAAAATATGTTAAAATAGGAGTGTTGCCGAGGCTCTATGACAAGAAATACCAGTGACTGCTCTATAGGTCTTTTGTAATTTATAGGAGGGTGAGAACTGACGAGGCTGTTCTTGAACTCTCACCCATATCAAGGGCATAAAAAGTCAAGATAAGACTGATAAAGGGGTTTCGAAGAGAATATTTGAATGGAGTTATTGGAGTGTTGTTAGACAAGTCAGGGAGAGAGAAGTGGCCACCCTCTTTTCCTAAATGTAAGCTTCCCTCTGTAGCAGGCACAAACTGGGAGGAGGAAGAAAGCCTTTAAGTCAGGTGGCAAAGTTTGATTATTACACAGGACTGGATATATATAACTCTTATAAAGATTTTATTTGTTCATTTGACAGAGAGAGAACACAATCAGGGGGAGTGGCAGGCACAGGGAGAGGGAGAAGCAGACTCCCTGCTGAGCAGGGAGCCGGATGTAGGCTGATCCCAGGATCCTGGAATCATGACCTGAGCGGAAGGCAGATGCTTAACCAACTAAGCCACCCAGGCGCCCAGGACTGGATATTTTAGTTACTAACTTTTCTTAACTAAAAGTTACCAGAAAAAGGAATGGGTCTGCCTAAGTTTTTATTCAGGGATGGGAGAAAAACCAGCCCCTACAGAGTATTTTCACAGGGTCATTGGAAAATAAGAATTAAGTTGCTTTCGGTTAGTCCCCAAAATTAAGTTTGTTCAATGCGCTGGAACATTATTGTTGAGTACCTTCTTTGTTTTTTTAATTCTGGAGGTATAAGGATGAACTGGATGACATTCCTCCCTATAAGAATTTATGAACACAATGCAATATAATATATACAATGACAGAAGTAATATGTGTGAGGATTAAAGAAGTACTATAGTAAAAAGGAAGATATGAGTAACTTATTTTGGAGGGAGTGGGGGTAAAGGGACATAGAACCACACCCAGGATGAAACCCAGCAGGATTTGAGAGAGGACTTACATGTTCCCAAGGTGGACAGGGCAGAGGACACCGTGTGTCAAGTCTCAGCTGTGGAAAGAGCATAGTGTGTGTGTGGGAGAGCTACAAGCAGAGTGAAGGGTGTGCATAGCCAGGTGGGTGATTACAATAGAGGGGAGCTGGAGGCCACAGGTGTTGTGAGTTCAGAGTTGGGCTGTTGGCAGGTTCACCTGTGGAGAGTTAATGGGATTGTAAAAACACATACATGCATATTGAGATGCCAGTCATTTCTTCTGTCATTCATTTCCTCCCTCTCCTTGCCCTGCACTTTTATAAAATTTGTCAATTATGGAGTGCTGAGAGGGTAGTATGAGAACTCCTCTCCATCCTGCTGCCTACAACTGATGGGATCTAGCTGTGTATCTGACTTAGGCTGAGTCCAACAGACTCCGCCTCCTAAGAATATAGATCAGAACATTGAGAGACTGGGTCCTGTATTTGTCCCCAGCTTTACTGAAATATGATTAACAAAAATTGCATATATTTAAGATGTACAGTGTGATGTTTTGATATGCATATATGTTGTGAGATAATTACCAGTCAAGCTAATTAGTTTATCCGTATCACATAGTTACTATTTGTATGTGTCTGGTAAGGAAATGTGAAGTCTATCTTAGCAAATTTCAAATATATGATACATTATTGTTAACTCTAGTCACCGTGCTGTGTATTAGGTCTCCAGTTTATCTTATAACTTATAACAGTTTATCTTATAACTGAAAGTTTGTACCCTTTAACCAGAATCTCCATATATTCCCCAGCTCCCAGTCCCAGTAACCACTGTTTTATTCACTGTTACTAGGAATTTGACTTCTTTAGATTTGACATATAAGTGAGATCATGCAGTATTTGTCTTTCTGTCTGGCTTACTTCACTTAGTATGATGTCCTCCAGGTTCATCCATGTTGTCACAAATGGCAGGAGTTCCTTCTTTTTTTTTTTTTCTTTAAGATTTAATTTATTTATTTGACGGAGAGAGATCACAAGTAGGCAGAGAGGCAGGCAGAGAGAGAGAGAGAAGCAGGCTCCCTGCTGAGCAGAGAGCCTGATGCGGGGGCGGGGGTTCGATCCCAAGACCCTGATATCATGACCTGAGCCAAAGGCAGCGGCCCAACCCACTGAGCCACCCAGGCGCCCCAGGAGTTCCTTCTTTTTAAAGGCTGAAAAATACTTATCTGTGTGTATTGTATTTCCTTTATCCATTCCTCTTTTGACAGACACTTAGATTGTTTCCGTATCTTGGCTACTATGAATGATGCTTTGATGAACATGGGATGCAGATATCTCTTTAAGATACTGATCTTATTTCCTTTTGAGATATTCCCAGAAATGGGATTGCTGGATCATATGGTAGTTCAGTTTTTAATTGAGATTGGGTTACTTTGATAGGAGCATTGAGCTTGTAAGGTCATGTGTGTTTCAGAGACATCTTGGCCTGTTGGGACTAGCCTTTGGGGGCCAGTAATGCAGCGTAGAGCAGGATGAGCTGATATCAAAAGAGAAACAGGTGAATGTAGCCAATGAAGAGGGAATAGGAGACTATAGGCATTGTA